TCATTGTCGGTCTTAAAATACAATCTTAAACTGAAGCTGGAGATTACATAATATCACAAATAAAATTGATAAGCAATTTAATATTATTAATGCTGATAAGTATCTTTAAAGCACTGTGAATAATTTATTACGAAAAATATCATCTCAGCCGGGATTTGAAGACTGACAAATAATCAGCGCACAGTTTGTTTAAATGGGAAATAAAAATTTACACAATATAAATTTACACAATATATTAGGCACTAAGACTAATTTTACCGAATGTGACTGTCTCATTCATTTATGTTGAATATTTTTTGGTCTATTTTTATTTAATATTAATTATTATTGCTATTTTGATTATGTCAATATATTTGATAGTCCTTTATTTTCGTAGGAGGACTTGGTCTGCTTAAATTCGCTAGCTGGTGGCATATCAACAGCACTTAAAGAGATAATTGGAAAATATATGAAGCTGCATATCTTGATTGAGGTACAAATTGTCAAATTTGTCTTTTTATTATTGTTCTTTTTAAATGATTTGCGTTTATAATAATACGAAAATTGAAATAAAAAAATTTCAATTGATATTATCATTACTTTTAACGTATAGAATTAAGAGATACTTAAATAACTTCTTTTGTATGAGATAAAAACTACCCTTTTGTTTTCTAACAGAAAATGCGCGATATTGGATGCGATTTGTTTCCAGAGCGAGACGCCTTTAGTTATGTGAAAGCTCTTCCGGTAAAACATCCAGTAACTGAGAAGCATCTACGAAAATGCATGGCTCTACTTTGCACAGCATATACGTTCTCCTGGTCGCGATGGAACGCTAGTCGACATTCCAGAGAAATTGTAATACAATTTAAGGAACTTCACGGATGTGTTGCAAAAGAGGTCAGACATTAATTATTTTGCCTTTATTGTAAAAAATGTAAAACAATACAATAACGTACGAAAAGCTATTCGTAATATCGCTTAAAATTAATATAATTACTTTAATTTTATTTTTATTTGTTTTTTACTTTCTAATAAAACTAAAATCAAAAAAACAAAATATTGTTTATGGACGTGTGAATGTTAATTTATTAAAAGTTAACTTTTATTGCGCCAAATAATATAAATTAAAATAAAATTTTTTAATGTCTTATTTTCTTTTACAGCGAACAAATTTAACTCTTTTAGTAACTCCTTTGAAAACAGTGATAATATCCTGCACCGAAGTGAGCTCGGAATTTTCTAGTGTACCATTAGATGATGAGAACTCGAAGGTAATACAAGATTTAATAAAAATTAAAAAAATTTTAAAAGTTATTAACAATTTATTTTAACAATTTTAATATATAAATGTGCATATACAGGATGTGTCACCAAGATCCGGACAAATCGAACAATTTCTTTAAATAAAATGTTTTTAATGAAAAATTAAATATTACAAAAATTCTTTTTACATGGCACTTGGGGGATTCTTATAGAGCATAATTATTCGATATATCCCCCATTAGCTTGAATGACGGTCTCTATTCTCGGTCTGAAGCGTTCGCACGCACGTTTGTAATGTAGCATGACGAATGCTGCTTCAATAGCGTCCTCAATGACGTCATTGGGATGCCGAGACTTGTTTGTAATTTTCAACTATGCTCCATACGTAGTAGTCCAAGGGATTTAAATCTGACTGATTTGGGAGGCCAGAATTCCTTGGACCAAAACATATCGACGTTGTCTGAGAGCCAATTTTGAATCAAATGATTTGTATGAGTTGGTGCATCATCCTCCTGAAAAACATATGACCTTCCAGACGCCACAGTTTCCATTCATGGCTTCACTACTTCTATCAGAACGCGCAACGATTGCCCTGGGTCATCCCAAATCAGCGCTTGAGCCTTTTCAACGACTGCGGGGGTCCTTGCGTTCTTTCGAGTGACTCTTCCTCGCTGGCATACTGGAACCTTCATAAGCCGTATATTTGCCACAACGTCATAAACGGTTGATTTCGGATATCTAAAGAACCGAATTATTTCCGTTGCTGAGCGTCCAGCGCGAAGGCCTTCGATGATCGCGGCTCTTCGATTATACTCCGCACTTAATTTCAACATCGCGGCATTTGAGAATATGACTGTTTACTAGAAGCATCAAGCTTTCTCGGACACCAAATTTAAATTTCCGGATTTTGGTGACGCACCCTGTATATGTAAGTGCGTACGCACTCTTAAAAAAATTTTTGTAAAATTTTTATTTAAAGTTTTTTCATGTCTTTGACGGTTTATCAAATATTTCTTTATAATAAAGAATTCTTTATAATAAAGAAAATAAAAAATAATAAATAAGAGACGCAAATGTATCTTAAAGAATAAACAAAATAATGAATAATATACTATAATAAATACGTTTTTCTGACAGTTTTATGCCGATCTTTATCACTTGGCACTACAGAATGCTGGAATCAAAAGCCGTATATTGATGAAAAATATCTCCTTTAAACTTGTCAAAACCGTCGTAAAACTTTTAGGTCGCACTAATATAATTAATATGTCATCTTAAAAATTAATTTTAATCAAACAAATAAATACATAGCATCTTTTAGTAAATGTGTTCATAGACTTGTACAACATTTTCTTTATCGTAATGCTATTAAAACGATTTACAACAATAGTTATTATGTCTTTGCATTACATTTTTTAATTAATTTTAATTAAATATTATTATTAAATATTATCAAATATTGTTCATTAACAGTTCATTAATTTTTTACATATAATACAGTCTATCCTTTTGTATAAATATTTACATTAAATGAGCATTAAAAAAGCTTTTGAAAATGAACATATCATTATATATAACACTTCAGTTTCTTCCAAAGTATGTGAAGTATGATTTAAATATGATCTGTCAGAATAATTACTTATATTAGATTATACTATTAAATTATATTATATACCTAGAGTAGATTATTAATATTAAATTAAAATCAATAAAAATGATAAACGGCAAAAGTGAAATTGTGTATTGTTCGAGAGAGCTTGCGGAGCGTCACTTGTCGAAGTATAAAAGCGTTGAATGAAATCAAAGCGATTAGATATAGATTTTAATGTCAAGGTTTAATTGTAAATATTTCTCTCATTTCCAACTATCAACTTTTTTCTTCAATACACCGGTTTCAAAATTCCCAAATATTTTAGAGAAATAGAAATCTTGAATTCGCACTTATTTTGTGTTGTGTGTATTAATAAATAACAATAATGAAAAAATAAAGACGTTAAAACAAAATTAACTTTAATTTATGTTTTGCAATTAACATATTTTAATTCATATTAATTATTAGTTTTACTATTATATTAATTATAAGTTTTACATAGATATTATTTATTGTCACAAGTTTTCTTTGCGGAAAAAGAAAAGAGAGAATTTGCTTGAGAAGTCGATTTTTTAAGGTCACATAAAGATTATTTTTACATCATGAATTAAATGATTATTTTTACATAATCCATGTTCTTCCATTAAAAATTATCTTTTTTGAAATATAACAATTTCGACAATTTTCTATAAAATTAAGTTATTATACTTTCAATAATTGATAGAGTAATATCTAATGCATTTGTGATAATAATTAACAAATCATATATTTGTGTTATGTCACTTTTAAAATAATGGAGCGATATAATGATAGTTATCTGATAGTTTTAAAATCTAAATATTAATTAATTATATAATATCAAAATTTTTTCCAGTAAACAGGAATAAATTAAAATAGATAGAAATTTTATCTATACAAATATATATTTTAAATAAAAAAAAAACATTTTTTGGATTCAATTAGATTCGGCTGGATTCAATGAATAGAAAAAAATTGCACCTTCTATTCAGAATTTTGAATGAAGAAGTATTTACAAGACACAGAAGAAGGCAATGTTATTTTTGAAAGCCATAGAAATATACTTCATACAATAAATAAATAAAAATGCATTTGCATTCATCTTAACATTCGCGAATGCGATTTTTCAGAAATCTAAATCCATTTCAATTCATTCTCATTTACAAAGCAATTATAAATTGAGGAAAAGAGGTGGAAATTGAAAGGGTAGTGCTAAGTTAAAAAGATAAAAGTTAAATTAAAAAGTTAAAAAGTTAATTAATTTTAATTTAACTTAGTTACATTTTGGATTCTTAATTTTTAACTTTATTTATATAACTTTAGCTATATTTTATTCATAATTATTAATTTTTTATTTAATTCTTTGAAGTTATGTCTCAGACCTAATACGCGACAATAGCGATAATTTAAAATGAGATGAAAATTGAGCAAAAGTGAGCAAATTTACTATGTATTGACCAATGAAATTATAAATATTCTAGTAAATTTGCTCACTTTTGTAATTTTCAACTCATTTCAAATTACACAAATCAATCCTCAGATTTCAATTTCAAAAACCGTGTATTTCGATGTATTTAGGTTGAAATCTATTATTCTTTATTATTATCGCTCCCTCATATTGTGTCTGAAACTTTAGTGATACCACAGGCCAGTATTCATAGTCGAATCTTATATACTAAATAAATTTAACTTTTAACTTTTTAATTACTTTTTTTATTATTAACTTAACTTTTAATTCAATTAATTTCATTATAAATTAACTTGTATTTTAACTAAGTTAAATTTTCAAGGTTGTTAATTTTAATTTAACTTAGTTAAAAAAAAAGTTAACTTACCCAGCTCTGGAAATTGAATTGAATAATACATAAGTTCATTCATATTTATACATCGATTTGCATATATTGTAAGCTCAATTTTCTTATAAATAATTACAATATTATACATATATTAAAGACAATAAATATTACACACGCACATAACTACAAGTTGTCTTTTACATAGACATGAATATAAATATTCAAAAAATTTAATTCTAAATAATAAACATTCTCATTATTTTGAAAATACAATAAGTATCTCTAAAGAGAAATACCTGTTAATTTAAAAATTATCTTTTTTGAGTATAACATATGTCTGTTCATTGTAAAATATAATTTAATAAATATGGATATGGTCTAAGTCAGCAATTTTATAATGTACCGGAAAAGATCCACTTATATATTATCCACAGTACTCCAATAAATGTAATAGTTTTTATCATTCTAACGAACAGATACACTCTAGAAAATAGAATAAATGCGATTAATATACACATTCAAAATTAGATTATATACTACTCAACAAAAAATAGGAAACACTTTAGAACACGCTCGAAATTATATTTCAGCAATATTCAAAACACACACCGTGAAAAATTATCGCAGACAAAAAGTCAAAAAAGCATTTGAAAGCTTGAAATCTCTACTTTCGAAATCGATAATTGATATTTCAGTCTGACTAATTCTTTATGGAGATATACGGATACAAATGGATACCCGTCAAATCTGAAAAATTTTTATAAACTTTACAAAGATCTATTGCGTAAAGTAAACATCATATAAAAATGCGGTATTTATGGTAGTCTAAAGAGTCATCGAGTTATTGAACGTTGAAGCAAAAGTCATTATTTTTGCTTCAACGTTCAATAACTCAGTGAAAAAAAATCATACAACACTCAATAAAAAAGCAAATTGAAGGTAAAGATTCATTCTTTCGACTACCGTAAACCGCATTTTTGTGTTTACTTCACGCCATAAACCTTTATGAAATTTGTACAAAATTTTCAGATTTGACAGGTATCTATTTGCGACTTTACTCTATCATTTAGATAACAATTTAATATAATATCAATTTTGTAATTAAGATTTTAAAATTTTTGACATATTTATTTGAGGTATTATTATTAAGAATGTAAATGTTAATCATATATCTTTTTATACATAATTAGATTTGTTTTAATCGTTACTTTTCGAAAAGTAATTAGTTTAATTCTTATTGTCTCTATATGTTATTTAATAGATCAATTTTTTAATTAAATGTCTCAAATATAAATATGCAAATAATAATTAAGAATAATTATGAATCATTTTTACCTTTTATTATGTGCTTTGACTGCATCTAATTGATTCATGTCTTCGTGAAGAAGATACTTTTTGGCACCAATTATACTATTTCTTCATATCATAAAATAAATATTTATTGGCTTTAAATTGCCTTTACTGTAAATATTATCTACTTGAAATTAAAAATGTATTACATACTTACTTGCAATACGTTTTAATATCTATATTGGAAATGTCAAAAGAAAATGAATCAATATCGTCATGTGGTACTAAAGACATCAGAGTCAACCTATTGGCATTGTTGTATTTCCAATGATGGAACGAAAAATAACATAGAGCACAATTGGCCACATATATTGCTCTCTGGAGTCGTACTAACCTAATTTCCACTTTACTTGAGATTTGTTCCGAAATACGCACAAAGTGAATAATGTATCATTTGCCCTTGTTATTCGCCGAAGAATAAAAAAGGATAAAATGATACCTCATGCGCTTTATACGTAATTCGGAACCTATCCTTATTAACAACAAACGGTTTAGTTGTGATTATATAATCCGTTGATTGAAAATCCAAAAGTATAATAAATTAGGAAAAAAACAAGAAATTTGATAAGAATAAGTACATTTTTAATAAGATATGTAATCATTTATATAAAAATTTTCTCTAAAATATGTATAATATATATAAATAATAGATAAATAGGAAGAATATATTCGTAAATTGTATTTCATATCAAGAAGAAATATCTGTCAATAATAACGGTAAAATATGACCGTTTTTTAACTTGCTCAGGATTCTCAAAAAACATTTTTTTGTATCGTACTATTATTGTTAAACATTCCATTATTAGATTCATCATTAGAATATTAAAAATAACTATTAAATGGAAAAAGCTCGATCTATTTAATTAATAGGTAATTAGATACTGCTGTGCTGTTATATTAATGTCAATTTAGATTACATGTATCATCCTTAAGATGAAGATAAATAGAACTAATAATAAATTAATTTTTTATTATTTCTGACATATAGATGGCTATAAATAAGTGATCATTGTTGTAGTTCATTATAGACTGAAGTCTCTGCATTGTCAAGCTTATGATCATTTAATATTTTTCTTTATAAAGATTATGCGTTTCGCGGGTTTCCTCCGTGCCCAGGTCCATGCTTGGAATGCCAACGTTTCGTGATACCTTGCTGATACAAATATCACGCTGCTCCTCGCTAATGAAGTGGACTGCAAGGTTGACGAAACGTTGGCATTTCAAGCATGAATCTGGACACGGAGGAAATCCGCGAAACGCATAATCTTTATATAGAAAGCACCCGTAAAAACCTCAAGAATAATATTTTTCTTTTATTTTTATTTCATCTTTTTTCACTTGACTTTACAATTAGATTTTTTATTTTATTTTGTAAGTTTAAGTTTTTTGAACGTATTAAGTAATGGACGTATTAAGTTTTGAACGTATTAAGATAGATCTTTAAATCTTTAATAAAACGAGTTACTATAGAAATCTTTAATCTTTTTATATAATAAAATTGGAGTGAAAATTGACGTGTGCAAAATTTTATGGTTAACGATGAAATAAGAGAGAAAAAAAATGTTGAATATGTAAACTTTCACGTATAACTTACAATTAGTGATAGTCGTAGCAGATAAGGCTCACAAACACTTCTTTGACTAACTGTACACAAATTTTATCAATTTTGTCATGTACTTTTCTCAAAAACGAGATTGTAATAGTTTAAAAAAATTACGATTTTAATGATAACAAAAAAGTAATAAGTCAATGGCCATTCTTAAAAGATATTTACGTGCATAAATTTATAAACTTACATACAAATTTAATCTCGAAAAGTAAACATAATCTCATCTTGATTTCATTCGAAATGCAACTCTTTACTTTCATATGTTTCATACTATTTCACTAAGATATACATGTACTATTAATATTTTATCCAAATTATGCAGATATTTATAATTTTGGGTGGGCCCTGATGAGGCATCACAAATTTTCGGTATAAAAGAATCACCTTAAACACTACGATCGTGACTTCTAAGCATCTTTTGATGATCAGAATTCGATGGTTGTAGCTTAAGTAATAGCTTAAGTAATAGTATATGCTATACTATACCAATAGTTTATGACTTTATCTAGTTTTATTCTTTCTAATAGCTATTGACATTTCTAATAATTATGTAATACAAAAAAGAGTAATTTTCTAAAAATCCTTGGCGTACTAAAAAGCGGTTTTATTCACTTTCCTTCTTGATACAAAAGACGAAAATGAAGATGAGATAATCTCTTTTGGTAAACTAGTTTAATATTTAAATTAAAACTTACATTGGTTGACGTCCGATGCATTTTAAAATCAGATCTATTAATATAGCTGGTAGAATATGTAATAATATTGTTAGTATATAGAATAGAACAAAATTTTGAGTCACTATTGCACCAGGTGTCCAGACAGTACCTTCGAAAGGTTCATCCTTTATAAGATTATTAAAGATATTTGAAGAATGTTGATGGGTACAGTTTTTAAAACTTGTGCAATTTACAACTAAAAGTGTGGAATCTATAATGCTAATAATAAATAAAATTATAAATCGATTAAGAAATTAAAAGATAAATAATAATAGACTTCCAATTTGCGTAAAGTTTTATAAAATCTGCATTAAGTTCCAGAAAAATAATTTATTACTTATGAAATTTTTAATTATAAAACACACCGTATTATCAAAAAGTATCAATCATTTAATACGGTTCGACAACCTATCCGAACATAAAAAATTGTTAATTTAAAATTTTCAGTTTTATCTTACACAAGAAGAAGATGTATTGTAGATAAAGAACGATTACAAAAAAGGTGGATTTTTTATCTGTTTTTTAGATTTTGGAATTCAATTTTATGTTAAATAATAGCTCATGAGACATTAATCATAAAGTTTTTGTTGAGCATGCGATTGATTTTAGAAATATAGAGCATCAAAGGAGTTACCAATTAAGAAAATATGACACTAACAACGCTTTATAACACAAATTTTTATTGAATTTTTTTGAAAGTCAGTATTTATGGATACTTTGTTGAGTTGCTGAATCTGATGTCAGATTTTAAAAATTGAAGACGGTACATATGGTGGACTCAAATACTAGATCAATCATTTACTTTTATGTAAACTGTTACATTGTGATTCTTTTTTTTTTAGCAAATTGTGAATTTTTTATCAGATTTATCTTTACCTTCATTGATAACAAGATATAAAAAAATTATCTTGCCGAAGAGGCAAGATCAAAATATCCACGGTGAAAAAGCTTCTAAACCAAGTAAAATTATTATGTTATCCTTTATGTGTCGCCAACTTGAATTTGACCTATTTTATAAAAAAGTAATCAAAAGATGCTTTTTCTACTCAAAAATTGTCAATGATTACTTTTCAAAATGTGATAGAAAATTCGTAGGCTCAGCGAATCAAAAAAAACCACAGCATTACAATTTTCATAAAAGTGAATGATTGTTCTAGGTTTGTGTCCGCTGTATTATATCCACCTTGAATTTTTAAAATCTGATATCAGATTCATAATCAGTAATTCAAACAACCTATAGATACCAACATTCGAAAAAATTCAACAAAAATTCGTGCTGCGTTGTTAGTGTCATATTTTCTTAATAGATAGTTGATCCCTTTGATCCTTTATATCTGAATTCAAATGTATGCTTAATGTAAAACATTTTGTGATTAATGTCTCATAATAAACTATTATTTAGCATAAAATAGTATAAAATTCAATTCAAGGACCAAAGAACAGGCATTTTTTGCGGTCATTCTTTATTCAAGAATTAGTTTTTAATTCTTTCGAATGTAATCTCTTTAATAACTAAAGAAAATATAACAATTATACAATAATAGTCTTTTAAAATATAACAGAATTAATAGAGTCGACTGTATTGTAAATACGGATTCATATATTTCTAAATAGAAAAAAAAGTTTTACAATTTATTTATAATCTAATAAAGTTAAAAAAATTCAAGCACATACCTGTGATCATACGTGGTTAATCCTATCTTCCAAGTTACGACTATTAAAATTTTGATGAGAATGTCTACTGGTACTGCATCTTCATTAATATCTTCATTCATACATGCTACTTGTAGTATCCCTTTTCCAGCGGCAATTAAAAGTCCTATTGGACCATAAACGTTATCTAACCATCCTGGGATAGGTTCTTGAAACGTTGTCGTTACTAGAATGAGACACAATGGTTAAATCATTATTAATACATTATCAGCAAACAAGTTGATGTTATTTGTCATCAGCAAGTAGGGCTAGCATTTCTTAATAGATTCAAAGTCGCTAAATTCAAATCCGCCAGAGAAAGATACCCATAACGTCAGATTTTTTAAATAAATCGAGTCAGCGTTTTTTGGAATATTTACCATTTTTTATACTAAACGAAATTTTATTTTTAAATGTAATATATTATAGGACCGTGTGTGTGTGTGTGTGTGTGTGTGTGTGTGTGTGTGTGTGTGTGTGTGTGTGTGGGGGGGGGAAAAATAATAGATAAATTATAGAAATCAAAGCCTTAAACGGTCTAACTGAATCTTAATACTTATATGATTCTTATGTGAATTTATATACTACGTATGTAGATCTAGAAACACGCGCCAAAATTTTTCGGTCTTGAAATGCTCTACTAAACTACCACAGCAATATCACGAGTTAAATTGACTAGCAATTTAACAAATTTTTATGCTTATTAAGATCTTTGAAACAATCTTAATACTGTTGAATGACATTAAAATCTGAAAATAATTAATTCTTATTGCGAAAAATATTACCTCGGAGTCAAAACCCGGATCTCTTGAATTCTATAAAAATATACATTTATTCTTTTTTCCTATTATATGTACTTTTAATGGTATAATTATTATTTTCAAAAAAAAATTACGCGCTTTGTCAGTGCGACCATTTTATCCAAACAGTGGAAATACAAATATTTAGCATCCCACAGCAACGCATTAAGACTAGAAATTATTTTTAATACTAAAAGAAAGACTACATACCAATGGAAGGTCTTATAATCGCACAAGGCAAGGAGGAAGAATAATTATGTATTACTTTTTCCGCTAAGTTTTTTGAAAAAATATACGTATTGGGTGCATAGTCCAAACACCTGTACATAATTTTAAGTGCATATAGACTTAAAAATTTGAATATGATTAAAATCTTATAAATAAAGCGAAAGATTTTATATATGTATATAACGTATAAATGCATAATCGATTTTCGTTTGTAACTTACTTAGCAGTAAAAATGTTTAAAGTATGCTCATCCAAAGTTTCGACTATTTCAATTATCTTTTGCCAATCAGCTATTGGCAAGTATATTTTTTCATCCATGACTGGTTCATTCACATGTGCAAATGCTGTACTAACGTATATTAATGCCTTTAATATATGAAAGCAATTAATTAAGAAATTACACTTCTTTAAAAATCTTTTTTAGTTCTTATAATAGTGATACTAAATTTATATTGTCAATTTAAAAACATTAAGCATTAGGATAAATATTCTTCCAAAAATTTATTATATTTTAAAAGTTATTGGAGAGAGAGAAATATATTAGGACTGTACATATGTATATCATCATATGTATACAATCAGGTTTGGAAAAGTTATACTTTGTAAAAATAACTATATAGTTACAATTAGGACAAATAAAAAAATTAAGTAACGAATAAAAGTAACGATTAAACCAATAAAAGAATTATAGTCAAACTTTACATAATTATTCAGACGTAATAATAAAACAATCTATGAATTTATGAATTTATAAATTTTTGCTTTGAAATGGAATACACACATTTCTTGTTATCTTTGAAAAGTACACAATTCGTGTGTTTGAAGAACATTTAAATAAAAATAAAGGTACATAAGTCGCGTGGGATGAGTTATTTAAATGCATAATTTTAGTTACTCTCTGACTTACGATTAAATTCTTCATATTTTGTGCTAAAATACAGATGTCTCTTGTTGCTCTGGTATTGGCAAATATGGCGCACTTTAAACTGTTATTGAATTTCACACTCGCGGCTGCATGAATTATTATGGTCACTCTTTCAACCAGCATTTGCCTGTCCGTAGCCGACAAACCCAATCCTTTCTCACTGACATTACCAGAAATTGGAATTAATTTCTCAAAATTCGAAGGTCGCTCTTTGCGTAATTTTTCAAATAACTAAAATAGAAGATCGCTATAATTCATAAATTCTGTGTTATACATTCTTCTAACATATTTTTAATTAATCTCTTACAAAAATAAAATATGTTTAATTCTTAACTAATCATTCCAATATTTTATTATTTACTATTAAAAAAATTTACAAACATTCTTTTGAAGAATAATTATTTTCATTGATAATGTTGAAATAGCATTTAAAAAGTAATTCTTTTTATCAAACATTTAAAATCGTAAAAATTATTTAACTATCTTAAAAAAATGCGTTTTACAAAAATTTCTCTATATATACTTACTGGTAGGTTTAATATTTTATCGAGCCTTTCTTTAATACTTAATCCTTTCTTTGGTCGCGTTAACAAAAATATTTCTCGAACATCTGGACAAGATCGTAATATTTTTTCGATAAAAATTTTACCCAGAAATCCTGTTGCACCAGTTAAAAGTATACTTTGTCCAGCGTAAAATGCAGGAATCGACTTGGCTGGATCTACAATCATCTTGTCCATTATTTTTTAAATAAAATTGATAAAAACACTTAGCAACGCACTGCAAAATGTATAGATAGTTGTATTTGATCGTCACTTTTACTATATCGATAAGAATTGGAAACAATGCTTATATAGAAGAATGACTAATGAGCACAATTTATATTATTTCTGTTTTATAGCCATAATGAAATCATAATTAAATCTATTGGATAATTAATGCTTTTAACCGGAAATGATTAATTGTAATTATGCAATTTAAGGTTAAAAGAGCAAGTACGCAATTGTTCCTATTCGCTGATCAAACGATGCAGTAGCGTCGTGACGTCATGTGCCAAAAATAAAAATATAAAATAGGCATGGTAAATATTCATTGCGTATATGTGCTATTGTCAAATTCGCGACGCTATTCACTAGCTTTATTTAGAGTTTTGACATCTCAACACACTTTAGATTAAAATTACTCAGAAACTGAAATCGCAATAAAAAAATTTAAAAACACTTTTATTATATTATAATGTCATAAGTATCTTTTCTTCGATAATGTTATCGGTGTATCCATTTTAATAATTCCGCTCAATTATTTGTCTATAAATATATTATAGTTTTATTTTTTTATTATCAATTTAAATCAGGATAACTCCGATATATATATATATACGCCGCACCTATCAAAAACTTAATTAATTATTAGTATTATTTATTAGTATTATTTTATTAGTATTATTTACTGTGTTTGTAATAATCAAACTATCAATAAAAATTTTGTACTGTCTACTACTATAAAAAAATATTAGAAATCTGAAATATTTATTTTTCGTATTAAAAAATAAACTTTTTGAAAGCACTTTTGCCCATATATATCCCATACGGATGGGAGGTATATACAACTCAAAAAAGTGTACAAATAATGCATATAAAAAAGACGTAAAATGACACATTAAAATGCGTTTATAAAGTTTATTAAGGAATAGGAACGATAAATATGTATATGAAGTAATAAATAATAATTACAGTCTTCCTACATATAATATATAATATTTAGTATATTATTATTTACAAGCGTAATGACATAAGGTACATATTCCATGTAATATATTTATTGCATTTAGTGCACTGAATTCAATCTGCGCACTTTGAATGCTTTTAGAGATATAAATCTAACTCGCTAAAAATGCCATATATTCCAAACAGATGGGATATACAAGACAACACACTAAACAAAGAATACGAAAGCAAAGCATTTATATTTTGCTATACAACATGCTTTATTATTCCTCTACATGTATGTATCACGAAATAATTACTAATCTTTTATGCGTCCTACAGTAATCATTTTATGTAGATTATAATTTAATGACGCTATTTATTACAATGACAAATCGATTCAACTCAAAATAATTTCATAATATTGACAGTAAGAAACTTAAATCATAACACAATACTAATATAATATAAAGGTATGTAACAGAGAGAGAGAGAGAGAGAGAGAGAGAGAGAGAGGATGCGTTTCGAATTACGCATAAAGCGCATAATACATCATTTGTCCTTATTGTCATCAAGTAATAAAGAACGATATATCATACGCTTCATGCGTAACTCGGAACGCATCCAGAATAGTTGCGGAAATATTACCTATCCCACTACTTTTATTTTTCCTGACTTCTGCAGCGTAAATCCCAGCGCGGCGTATTTGTCGGAATTACTCTAGACTTTTATTTTAGTTCTCTCTCTCTCTCTCTCTCTCTCTCTCTCTCTCTCTCTCTCTTTTCTTTATATATACTTTGTATATACATATTTTTTATTCCTTTCTAATCACTCTTTAAATCTGAGTCAGTAGCTAATCACTGATATCAGTGTCAAGTATGCCACTGGTAATCAGTTTGAATTGAATATGAGATCCGTAACCTAGCTAATCGTTATTATGTAATCTAACCAATCTTATTTTAGTGCTTAAATTCAATGAAAATGATATTGGAAGATTGAAATTAACGTGCAAGTATCAGTATTTTAATTATATAATGCTCAAATATTCTCTCTTTTTTAATTGAATTTCACCGATTATCAATGCTAAGTATGCTATTGGGTAATTAGTGACTATTCACTGATTCACAGATTTAGAGGGCAAATAATATTATATTTAAACATAATAAACAATCTACGCTATAAATAATTATAATTATAATAATTGTTAATAATTAATTAAATGTATTTTGTAGTATATTTTTATAAATAATAAATAGTATATCCATTTATATCTAAATAGTATACAAATACTATTGAATATATATATATATTATATATACATATATATATATGTATGTTTGCACTTTTAACCTTACACAATTGCAGTCATTTCATGTTTATTAAAGCGATTGGCTTACTATAAAATGATTATATATTTTAATTCGCGCGTAGATATAAATGCATCGACCTCTATCATGTCGATATAACAAAAGTGATAACGATTTTGAATGTTCCAATATCTTCGTCTTGCGTTACTCTGACAGATTTGTATTATTTATGTGTAATTTTTTTTTAATAATGAATAAAATGATAATTGATCCAGCAAAATCAATTCCTGCATTTTACGCTGGACAAAGTATACTTTTGACAGGTCCAACAGGATTTCTGGGTAAAGTGTTTATCGAAAAGATATTACGATCTTGTCCAGATGTTCATGAAATATTTCTATTAATGCGTTCGAAAACAGGATCAAATATTAACGAAAGGCTCGAGAAAATATTAAACTTACCGGTAAGTTGGATATACAAAGAGAAATTTTTGAAAAATTTTTTTAAGGTATTTAAGGCATTTTAAGATAAAAAAATTTTTATTACATTTATATAAATGTTTAGTACACAAAATTTCTTTCTAAATGCTATTGCAACGTTATCATCGAAAATAATTATTCTTCAACAGAATATTTGTAAATTTTTCAAATGGTAAATATAATAAAATATTGGAATGCATTAGTTAAGAATTAAACATTCTATTTTTTAAAGGAAATTTAATAAAAATATGTTAGAAGAATGTATAACACAGAATTTATGAATTATAGCGATCTTCTATTTTAGTTATTTGAAAAATTACGCAAAGAGCGACCTTCGAATTTTGAGAAATTAATTCCAATTTCTGGTAATGTCAGTGAGAAAGGATTGGGTTTGTCGGCTACGGACAGGCAAATGCTGGTTGAAAGAGTGACCATAATAATTCATGCAGCCGCGAGTGTGAAATTCAATAACAGTTTAAAGTGCGCCATATTTGCCAATACCAGAGCAACAAGAGACATCTGTATTTTAGCACAAAGTATGAAGAATTTAATCGTAAGTCAAAGAGCAACTAAGATTATGTATTTAAATAAGCATTTTCTCTCACACAATTTATATAATAATTTTTATTTTAATTTAAATGTTCTTCAAAAACACAAATTATGTAAAATTTGAGTATGATTTTTTTTATTGGTTCAAATGTTACTTAATTTTTTGTTTGTCTTAATTGTAACTATAATTACTTTTACAAAGTATAACTTTTCCAAACCTGATTGTATACATATGATGATATACATACGTACAGCCCTAATATATTTTTGGAAGAATATTTATCCTAATGCTTAATGTTTTAAAATTGACAATATAAATTTTGGTATCACTATTATAAGAACTAAAAAAGATTTTTAAAGAAGTGTAATTTCTTAATTAATTGCTTTCATATATTAAAGGCATTAGTATACGTTAGTACAGCATTTGCACATGTGAATGAACCATTCATAGATGAAAAAATATACTTGCCAATAGCTGATTGGCAAAAGATAATTGAAATAGTCGAAACTTTGGATGAGCATACTTTAAACATTTTTACTGCTAAGTAAGTTACAAACGAAAATCGATTATGCATTTATATACATATATGCTAAAATCTTTCGCTTTATTTATAAGATATTAATCATATTCAAATTTTTAAGTCTATATGCACTTAAAATTATGTAGGTGTTTGGACTATGCACCCAATACGTATATTTTTTCAAAAAACTTAGCGGAAAAGATAATACAAGATTATTCTTCTTCCTTCCCTTGTGCGATTGTAAGACCTTCCATTGGTATGTAGCCTTTCTTCTAGTATTAAAAACATTTCTAATAGGCTTAATGCGTATGGTGCGTGTGTGTGTGCGTGTGTGTGTGTGTGTGTGTGTGTGTGTGTGTTAAATATCTATATTTTCACTATTTGAATAAAATAAAATACGTGCACTGACAGAGCGCGTAATTTCTTTTTGCAAATAATAATTATACCATTAAAAGTATATATATATATATATATAGGAAAAAAGAATAAATGTGTATATTTTTATATTTTAATATGGTTTAGAAGCAGATTTATTTTAATTTTTATATTTATGGAATGTAATTAATTAAATGGATCTTTAAAATATGTTTTCATTATAAATCAACATTTGGGTGATGTTTATTAGCACTTGAGAAATTCAACAGACAAAAATTAAATATATTTTATAAAGCTTTATAACATTTTTACGTAATTTTGATTAATAATTTATATACAAGAAATAATTGAATATTATTAGAGTCAAATACCAAGAGAGCTGGTGACAAATAACATGTTTGCTAAATGATAATGTGTAATTATAATAATAATTTAATAATTGTATCTCATATCCTAGTAATACCAACATTCCAAGAACCTATCCCAGGATGGTTAGATAACGTTTATGGTCCAATAGGACTTTTTGTTGGCGGCGGAAAAGGGCTACTACGAGTAGCATGTTTGAATAAAACTGTTAATGAAGATGTAGTACCAGTAGACATTGTCATCAAGGCTATAATAGTCGTAACTTGGAAGGTAGGATTAACTACGTACGATCACAGGTATATAATATGCTTGCATTTTTAACTATATTAGATTATAAATGCACTAGAAAACTTTTTTCTTTATTTGGAAATATATGAATCCATGTTTACAATAGTAATCGACTGCATTAATTCTGTTACATCTCGAAAGACTATTATATGATTGCTATATTTTCTCTAGTTTCATCAAAGAGATTATATTTGAAAGAGTTAAAAACTAATTCTCGAATAAATTTATCTACATCTTCTCCTTGTGTAAAATAAAATTAACAATTTTTAAATAATTTATTAATAGCTTTTTTTAAATATTTACGTTTTCGGATAGTTAATACGTTGTCGAACGTTCTTGTATTAAATGATTGATACTTTTTAATAATATGTTGCGTTTTATATAATTAAAAATATCATAAGAAATAAATTATTTTTCTAAAATTTAATGCAAATCTTATAAACTTTATGCAAATTTGAAGTCTATTATTATTTATCTTCTAATTAATTTATAATTTTATTTATTATTAGCATTACAGATTCCTTTACATTACAGACACCTTTAGTTGTAAATTGCACAAGTCAAAAATACATAACATATCAAGATTGTATAAAGATGATGTTTAATATTGTACATGAGATACCTTTAGAAGGAACTGTTTGGACACCTCATACAATATTAACCGATAATTTTGTTCTATTCTACATACTAACAATATTATTGCACATTCTACCAACTATATTAATAGACCTGATTTTAATATTCGCTGGACGCCGACCTATGTAAGTCTTAAATTAAATATTAAACTAGTTCAATAGGTTTTCTTTATCTCCATTTTTACCATTTAGAAGGAAAGTCAATAAGGCCACTTTTTAATACGAGAGACCGAGGACAAAAGTAACATTTTGACTTTGAAGTATTATAATTGTTAAAATATAATATTTACATTAAAAAAATATGTATCTTTAGATATAGAATTATTTAGATACAAAATTTTCTTTGGTTTCATTTTTTTATGTAACTAAAAAAAAGTTTTGTTTAAAGACTGAGAAATTTTGTTACAACCGTCCCAATTGTAACAGTAGAGGGAAATAATTGTACATTTGCCAGAAATACATAACACAACTACATAATAAGTCGTACTCTTTCTTGCAGTTACACGAATAGATAACTGGATACTCTTATAACCTCTTTAAATGTCTGTTTGTATAAAGACATTTCTTTTATATAATTTTTCTCTTATCTGTCTTGCGTTTTTTATGAACAGCATTCTTTGAAGAAGAATACAAATAACATTGTACAAAATAATATTAAAATAAAATTAATAAGTTCGGAGACAATTGTAACGTTACAAACTGTACTCCAGACATCGATGTTACTATTGTCCCCTAATGGTATTTTATGATTTATAGTAAATTTTTTAAATGAAAACCTAAATAAAAATCAACTCAAATGTGTAAAGCATCAAGGCAGATAATTATTAAAACGTATTAAGATAATATATTATACCTTCATCATAAAAAAAAAATATTTTAGATTTTGTGCACGCAATATAACCTTGATGAAAAAAATAATTTCTGCTCTTGAACTCGTGCACGTTCCGCAATAATCAACATGTAACAAACGATTCAATGCTAATTTGACTACAAAATTTTACTATGCAGTCGCATACACGTATCTATTATAGTTTAAGAAATATTAACGATGTTACTATTGTCTCCTTTTTATTTTTGTTCCTGGTCGATTCCCCTACGACTAGGATTTTTAAAAAAATTTTCTTGCATGATCATTAGGAATATCAAAAATAACTATTAGAGAGGAATGAAACTTGATACATAAAGTCATAATTAATTATTATTAATCTAAGTATAGTATAATATAACTGTTACCTAACCAGTAACCGTCGAATTCTGATCATCAGAAGATGCTTAAAAGTCACGATCGCAGTGTTTAATATATACAAAAAACTTTAAAATTAAAAAATAAAATAAATAATCTAATTATAATACAAATTGAAAAAAGATAAAGTAAGAAAAATATTAAAGTAATAATCACAAACTTGACAGTGCGGAGACTTCAGTCTGCAAGCAACCAACAGTGATCATCTATTTTTTGTAGCTATATGTCAGGAATAATAAAAAAATAATTTTTTTTTGAATAATAAAAAAATAATTTTTTCATTATGAGTTCTATTCATCTTTATCAGAATGATACACGTAATCTAAACTGACATTAATATAACGGCACAGCAGTTGTATAATGAGAAAAAATATATTTTATTATATAATTCACTTATTAGTCATGAAAAGGATTTAGATACCATAGCCCTACATCTAGACTATCCAGACAACAAAAAGTGTCTAAAATCAGGTCATAAATCATTTTTTGCGCCTAAAAGACGATTTAAAGACTTATATTATAATTTCAGACTTTGTGTTTGGAAATTAATTATGGATTGAATTTTTCTTACTTAATGGTTATTTTTAACGTTTCTGGTAATGAATCTAATAAAGAAATGTTTAACATTTCTATTTTTACCATTATAATTATACGATACGAAAAAATTGTTTTCTAAGAATCCTAAACGAGCTAAAAAATGATCTTATTATATCTTCCTCCTTTGTATGAAACAATTTACGTAAATATTTTTTCTCTTTATCTACTATTTAGATTTATTATTATACACACTTAAAGATAACAATTACATAAAATGATTATGTATCTATAAAAAAAAATTTACTTATTCTTTTCAAATTTCTTTTTTCTTCTCTAATTTATATTTTTGGATTCTTAATCCACAGATTGAGATATATAGCTGTATTAAAGCTGTATTAACTAAACCGTATCTTGTTAATAAGTAAAGTGTAAATTAGGTTAGTACAACTCCAGAGAAGAGTATATGTGGCCAATCGTGCTGTGAGTTACTTTTCATTCCATGAATGGAAATACAGCAATGTCAATAGGTTGACTCTGACATCTTTAATACCACATGACAATCTTGATCCGTTTTCTTTTGACTGTTCCAATCTTGATATTAAAACGTATTGCAAGTAAGTGTGTATTACATTTTTAATTTCAAATAAATAATATTTACAATAAAGACAATTTAAAGCCAAAAAATATTTATTTTACGATATGAAGAAATAGTGCCATTGGTGCCAAAAAGTTTCTTCTTCACGAAGACATGAGTCGATTAGATGCAGTCAAAGCACATAATAAAAGGTAAAAATGATTCATAATTCAGAAAATAACGATTCTAATTATGTATAAAAAATAGGTATATGATTAATATTTTCATTCTTAGTAATTTTATCTCAATTAAATATGTCAAAAATTTCAAAATCTTAATTACAAATTTAATATTATACTTGTTATCTGAATGATAGGGTAAGATATTTTTAATAATTATTTATAAAAATATTGAACATAAATTATTTACTGTTTCCAATATATCCTGTATAACACAAATAATTTAAAATTATCAAAGAAAAAGGAAAAATGATATAAAAATTTTAATACATATTAAATAATAAGAGTTTATATCAAGAGATATAATATAATCAAAATTTGAAAATGTATATTAATAGCATTTATTCTATGTTCTAGAGTGTATCTGCTTGTCAGAATGGTAAAAACTATTATTTTTATTGGAATACTGTGGATAATATATAAGTGGATCTTCTCCGGTACGTTATAAAAGTACTAACTTAAATTTATCCATACTTATCAAATTATATTTTATGATGAATAAATATATGTTATGCACAAAAAAATTAATTTTTTAATTGAAAAGTGTTTCTTTTTGGAGATACTTACTGTATTTTCAAAATGAGACTATTTATTATTTAAATTTTTTTATGTACATTTATACAATACAAAAAGTATTTACAAAAAATAACAAAATTTACATAAAAATAAAATTTTATGGATTTTTAATGTTTATACAAAAGGCAACTTATAGTTATGTGCAATGTTTACTTTCTTTAATATATGTATAATATAATGTTGTAATTATTTATAAAAAAAATTAAGTTTACAATATATGGAAATCGATGTATAAATATGAATAAATTAATGTATAATTTATAATTCAATTTCCAATCCGCTTTTCCTCAATTTACAATCGCCCAGTAAATGAGAATGGATTGAAATGGATTCGGATTTTCAAAAATATACATTCGCGAACGTTAAAATGAATCTAAATGCATTTTTATTTGTAGGAATTGTATGAAGTATATTTCTACGCCTTTCAATCTAAAAATAGTATTAGCTTCTCTTATGTCTCTTGTAAATACTTCTTAGTTCAAAATTCTATAATAAATAGAATAGCAGTTTTTCAATTCAATTTGAATCCAGTTAAACCTAATTGAATCTAATTAAATGTAATTAAATCCACAAAAAAATTTTTTTTTAAATACATATTTGTATAGATAAAATTGTAATCTATTTTAATTTATTCCTGTTAACTGGGAAAAATTTTAATTTATTATATCTGATTTATTATATATTTAATTAATATTTAGATTTCAGAATTATCAGACAATAACATTATATCGCTCCATTACTTCAAAAGTGACACAACTTAAACACATGATTTGTTAATTATTATCACATATGAATTGGACAATATTACCTTATCAATAATCAAAAATGTATGTACTAACTTAATTTTATAAAAAATTGTCAAAATTATTACATTTCATAAGATAAAGATTTTAATGAAAAAACATTGATTATATAAAAACAATCATTTAATTCAATTTAAAAAATGTCGAAGACATTTATATGACCTTAAAAAATCGACTTGCTAATTTTCCTTTTGCAACAATGAAAATTTATGATAGTAAATGATATTAATTGTAAAACTTATAATCATAATATAATAACAAAACATACATATACTAATAACTAATACGAATAAAAATATGTTAATTGCAAAACATAAATTGAAGTATCGTTAATTTTATTTCAATGTCTTCATTATTTCATTATTATTATTTGTTAACATATGTAACACAAAAACGATGCAAATTCGACCAGGGAACTTTTGCGTTTTATAGCTTGGATAATGTTAACGCGTCAGCGTGGCAGTACTATAACTTTCAAGTCTCATAACTTGGAAAATATTTGATAAAAATAAACTTTATTATGTTTTTGTAATAACACGTTATAGCTTTGTTATAAAAAAAAATAAATTTCGTGCGATCAATAAAATTTGCTTGATGTATGAAAAAGTTTACTTCTGCTCCTGCTTGTGTTGACGTTATGAAAGGATCGGCAAACAAATAACCAATGTCGATCTATCTAGAGAATTTTGCCTTGTGACTATTTACATTAGGAATATTGATGATATTAATATGGTACTTTCGTCTCTATTATTGAGACATAATATCGCATCAACTTTGACTTTTATTTTATTTTGCTGTGAAATAGAGAGAGAGAGAGAGAGAGAGAGAGAGAGAGAGAGAGAGAGATGATTCTTTTTCAGGTAATGAATATATTATATCTCATCTGGCATAAAGAGCTAATATATACATATTTATCGCGTCGTTAAAACTCAACAAACATTAATTGAAAAATAATTTTTTAATTACAATTAAAATAATAAAATGGTAAAAAACAATAAAACAACTAAACATAATTTGAAAACAAACTTGTAAATGTAACTAACAATAAAATTAATTTGATTTTCATCTATAATATAAATAGTGATCTGCAATATAGATAGCGCAATATCTCGTTTTTAATACGATAAAGATATAGAGATCTAACAAGAATTGAATATACTCTTATCATTATATTATATTAACTCATGTAAAGTTAATATATAATGATAATAATATTCTTGAACACTTTACACAGCAAATTTTTCTAGTCTTATATGTTAAATTGCATATATTAAGAACTTAATATATGCAATATATTAAGAACTAATTCTTTCTATAAAAGATTGCAATAGTGTTGTAGATAACTTATTACATGCAAATAATTGCACGTTACTCGTATTGCACATTAGAAACATATACAATTTTACTTGCAAACTGTACTTTATTTCATAAAGATACATTCTTGTAAATATAATTATGTAATATATATTAATGTACAATGTACGTATAATGTTTAACATTAAATTCTAAATTATCCGTTATTTAATGATACAATAAGAGATGTCTGTAAAGGAACACATCTTTTGGCTGAAAGATTATTTTCCTTTGATATTTCTTAAATTGTGCATATATTTATTTTGACTGCCATAAATTACAGTTCGTTATACAAGTATAATGGATAAATCAACTTTTTTATAAATATATTATTATTTATAATGTATAAAAGTAGATCCATCTATATATAATCCAAAGTATACCGATAGAGATAATAGTTTTTATCACTCTAATAAGTAGATACAATCTAGAAAATAGAATAAGTATGATTAGTATACACATCTTAGTTATTTTTCAAATATTTCTTAAACGTAGGTATATAAATTCTATCTTATTATTTAATATGTACTAGAGTTATTATATCGACGACTTTTTTTTCCTAAATATTTTCTATTCACGTCATACAAAATATATTAACAACAACAATTTATGATTAATATTTCTACGAATAGTTATTAAATATATTATTAAACTTATTATTATATATATTGAGATGTTATTCAGATAATAAATATATTATAATCAAGATTTTAATGCTTTTGACATAAATATCTCATTGTGAGAAGTAATTGCCAAGAAAAAACAAATTTGTAAGTAGAAATCTTATTTCTATTCTTTTCACTTGTTATTGTAAATTTTGAAAAGTAATTGGATTTCTAACTGTTATTGTTTTTACACATTCTATTGTTATTATATCTTATCTAATAAAGGCCAAAAATTTTTTCAAAATATAATACAAATGTAAAAATGTGTAAACATTAATAAGTACTATTTATAATGTATTCTATACCTTTTATTACGTGTTTTGACTGCATCCAATTGAAGGAGATTTACATCTTCGTGAAGAAGAAATTTTTTCACATCTATGATACCATTTCTTCATATTGTAAAATAAATGTTTATTAGTTTTAAATTGTTTTTATTCTAAACATTATTTAGAGAATAGTAAATATAATATATTTACAAACTTATATTTAACTTACTTCATATAAATTTTGCGATCGGCATCGGCATAAAGTTCAAAAGAAAATTCCTTCCGATTTTCAGATGGTATTAAAGATATTAGAGACAATCCATTCACATCGCTGTATTTCCAATTATGGAATGAAAAATAACTCACAGCACAATTGGCCACATATATTCTTCTTAACAGTTGTAATAACCTAATTTACATGTTATTCGTTAACACCAAATTGTTAAGTTATAATATTTCATTACAACAATATAACTTTTCATAATAAGTATTACAAATACTCCAAATTCACAAAGGTAGTAACCCAAGAAATACATTTTTGTTCAAAATACATTTAATAAATGTTAGAAATAGTGTATCTAATAAACATGTAAACAGAAAAATAAACGTTTAACTAAATATATAATAAACGTTATAGAAATAACATTTATAAAACGTTTGTAATGTCTACTAATATTTTTTTTTATTAATTTCAAATACCGTTTTTATATGATACATTTTAACAGTTCAAGTATATTTAACGTTAATAACATCTATTTATTAGGTGTTGGAATTAATTCGTAGCGTTTTACAAGTGATGGGAAGTACTTTCATTAATGTATTTTTTAATGCTCATGTGAAATAAATAACATTCTTTCATTAAAAACGCTACGAATTAATTCCAACACCTAATAATTTTGTCTATCTGTCTTTTTAATGTATAAAAATGTTCTGGCTAAACATTTTTTAAACGAAAATTGTTTACTTGGGAAAAAGAACTTTTTTAAATGCATTCTTTACAGATGTGTTATTATATAATATGTTATTATAAGTTGTGTTATTATATAAAAATTTTTTCTATGAACAAGAAAAAGATTAAATTCCACAAAACAGAATATAACATGTATATAACTATGTGTGTGTGTGTGTGTGCGTGTGTGTGTGTGTGTGTGTGTGTGTGTGTGTGTGTGTGTGTGTGTGTGTGAAATTTACACACTTTACAAAATTAGTTTAATATTTAATTTAAGGCTTACATAGGTCGACGTCCAGAAAATTTTAAAACCAGATCTATTAATATAGCTGGCAGAATATGCAATAATATTGTCAATATATAGAATTGAACAAAATTATCAATCAATATCGTATGAGGTGTCCAAATAATTCTTTCAAAAGGTACATCTTTCCTTGTGATATCGTATAACATATGTATATCTCGTTCATACGTATTGGATTGTTGATTTGTACAATTCAAAACAAAAGATGAGGAATCTGCTATAGAGCTAAATAATAAACAAAACAATAAACAAAACAATAAATTAATTCATATAACTAAGGGCTGATTGTTCCATCTTCAGATAAACTATGTGGTAATTTACCTATTAGATAAACAAAACAAATGTAAGAGCATAAGAGAGTAAGAGAGTAAGATAATGAACTGAAGTTTATCGAAAAATGAAACAATCCAGCCTAAATAACATAAATAATAATTAATTAATATTTACACAAACTTTCTAGAAATTTTTTTATATTAAATTCATAAAATAAGATAAACTTTTAACTGTATAATTTATAAATAATATTAATACGTTCCATGTCGCATGGATTACAAATAATTCATGCTTGATTCTTTCCATTTAACCCTTTACGATCACACTTCAAGAAAGACACGATAGTTATTCTGGATTAAAATTTCTAAAGTGTTACCAAAGTGTTATCAATAATATTGGTTCCATTGACTTCAAAAAATTACAGTATATAATTTCATCCTTTAAGAAAATGAGACAATGGCGTTGTCGTGAAAAATTTAATTTTAACACTAAAAGAAATCGTAAACGTTAACTTCGAAAAAAATGTATATTTTTACTTAAATTTATTTATTTTACTAAAAAAATCATAACTTTTTAAATTTATAATATTTTTAAATGCAGTATTAGCCTACTCTTATAAGATGATGTACTTAAAAAAAAAATAGTATCCAAACTCATATAACTTAACACGCGTTTGAAAAAAGGTGGGTTTATTTTGAAGGTAGAAGATGATCGTTTTTTAGTTGTAAAAGAGATGTTAAATTCTAACTATTTATTATTGATTTAAGTTATTATTAATATAAAAATTGGTATTATTATTATTATTATTATTATTATTATTATTATTACTGAAGACAAATATAACCAAAAAACGTAAAATACAAAAAATATATAAAAAATGTTACTCTTCGCCACAACATTCTCAATACACAAATAGTCTGCTTTTTAAATCTGAATCAGTGGATAATCACTAATTCAGATATGCCACTATTAATTAATGAATAAAATATAATATCCCCAATCTATAGCGAATCTTGCTTCAGTATACATATTTAGATACTTAATTTTACAACAGCTAGAAAGAATCATTAATAATTTTACTAAAAAATAAACACTGATATTTAAAATGCGATTGAACATTTAATTGAAAAAATTTAAATAGATTGGAAATTTGATTTTACAATAAATACAATATCATTAAACGTTAATATGTAAACATTATATCTTTGAACAATTATATACTGTAAATATTACATAAGACAGATATGTCTACACAAATCAATTAAGCATTTCTCTTTAGATTTAACAAAATAGATTAAATAAAATATATAATTGTCATACTGTAAACATGAATTGAATTATTTCCAGTAAAAAAAGAAAGCTTCCATGATTATAATTTAATATAATTATAAATACTCGCATATGTAAATTGATCATCATACGTGTTTAATCCCAGTTTCCAAATAAGGACTAGTGTAGCTTTGATGGCAATGTCTACTGGTATTATATCTTCTCTAGAAGTTTTATTTAGGTAGGCCACTCGTAATATTCCTTTTCCACCACCAAGGAAAAGGCCTATTGGACCATAAACGTTATCTATCCATCCTGGAATAGGCTCGCTCAGCGATGGCCCTACTAAAATACGAAATACATTTGTAAATTAAATTATTAATGTGTTAGATTACTAATAATTTTTTTAAAAAATAAGTATCTAAATGATTCAAAGAATTAAAAATTAAAGAAGTTGTATTAATAAATAAGGTAATTAAATAAAAAAGGTAATTAACAAATCAAAATGATGCTAGTGTCAATTAAGACAATTGTATTGAAATTATAAATATTGTCAAAACGTTTCAGTTTACATTAAACCATTTTCAGAGGAATATGACTAATTTGCAATAAAAACATTTATATGTAATCGCTGGTGAATCGCTACAATGAATTGCTCGATCCTATAGTTAACTACTTTATTGCAAATTAAACGTAATAATTTTTATATCGCAATTTCTTTTTTTGTTCTTTTTTTATAGATTTGAAAATCAATTTCTAAAATTAAAGTATTAAAAAAACTACGTACCAATAGATGGCCTCACAATCGCACAAGGCAAGGAGGAAGAATATTCTTGTATTATACTCTCCGCTAAGTTCTTCGAAAAAATATATGTATTGGGAACATATTGTAAACATCTGTACATAATTTTAGATAGACATAAAATTAAAAATTTGCAACATTATAAATAAAGCACAAAATAAATAATAAAATATTTTAAAAATAAATAATAAAATATTTTTAAAAAATTGTTTAAAAAATGTTTTAGTATATGTATATATCTATTTACATAAAATTTACAAGCATAATTTTTGTTTTGTGACTTACTTAAGCATAAAAACGTCCAAAGTATGCTCATCCAATGTCTCGGCTATTTCAATCATCTTCCGCCAATCAGCTATTGGTGGATACACTTTTTCTTCTATGAATGTTTTATTTAAATGTGCAAATGCTGTACTAATGTATACTAATGCCTTTAACAGATAAAAGCAATTAGTTATATTATTAAAAATATTTTTCTAAAATTATCTTCAAGAATTAAGAAAGTTTTTTGTAATAATTATTAGTTAATTAATTTATATTATCGACTTTAGATCATTATTTTGATTATGCAAATATTTTTATAAATTTAATTTAATTTAATTTAATTTCTATAAATTTATTATATTGCAACTGTTATTAAGCTTGAAAATTATACTATAACACATATTTAAAAAAAACTTGTAATTGAAATATCAATTATCATATAAAATGTACTAACAATAAATAATAGAATGAATTATTTAAATATACTGTCTCAGAAATTTTTTTTAACTTACTTTTAAATTCTTCATACTTTGAGCTAAAATACAGATGTCTCTTGTTGCTCTGACATTAGTACATATGGCATATGCTAAACTATTATTAAATCTCACATTCGCCGCTGCATGAATTATTATAGTTACTCTTTCAACCAGCATTTGTCTGTCCGCAACCGATAAACTTAATTCTTTCTTACTAACATCGCCAGAAATTGGAACTAGTTTCTCAAAACTCGAAAAATGCTCTTCGCGCAATTTGTCATATAACTGCAATAAAATAATATTATATTATAATTTACAAAAAAATCTTTCTTATAATAAAAGATTTGAAACCATTTGTAATAAATTTGTATTATAATAAAGAAATAGCATTTAATAGCATTTAAATCAATACTCTGTTTTAAATGCATTACAAAATCTTTTATTATATACTATTTACAAAATCTTCATGTTAAAAATAACTTTCCTTACTAATAAAATTACAATAATATTTACAAAATATGTTTCACCGCAGACATTAAATGTAATATTATTATAACATCTTAAAAATTAAAAAAAAATGCATTGTTACAAAAAGTTTCTCTTTTTATATTTAACTTACTGGTAACTTTAATGATTTCTCGAGTCTTTCCTTAACAGTTAATTCTTTTTTGGAACGTATCAGCAGAAATATTTCACGAACATCTGGACAAGATCGTAATATTTTTTCAATTAACATTTTTCCCAGAAATCCTCTTGCACCCGTTAAAAATATACTTTGTCCTGCATAAAATGCAGGAATCGTTTTAGATGAATCAACTGTCATCTTAATTATTATTTTTAAAACAGTGGTAATATTAACCAGAACACTTAGCAATGTCAAATGAAGGTATTGAAACACTCGGAACTGTTATCACTTTTGTTATGTGGACTTACAGAAAGAGAGGTATCTAGAGTTTGAATAAATGTGTCTATTTACTGACGGATTGAAATATAATCATTTAATTTAAATTTTAATCATTTTATAGTCTGTGTGTGAATCAAATTTTCGCCCACATGATGCATAGAATATGGAATCCGGATTTGAATATTGACTAAAGCAATAATTTTCGCAATAAATTATTCGCAGGTTGAAGATTCTTATTAATATAAATTATTAATATTCTTACAATGCTTATACAAAAATTATTAAATTGTGTCTTAAGACCGAAAAATTTGTCAAATGTACATAAATTTATACAGAAATAATAAATAATACTTGTAACAGTAATTGTATAATTATAACAGTAATAAAAATTGGGCAGAAATGATACAATAATAAGCATAAGTTAAGTTACTCATGCAGTGTTTAAAATAATAATCGTTCTTTTTGGTAATATATATTGACTTAATTATAGTATTATTGTCCGAGCAACGAAATTAGAATTTTTTGATAACACAAGTGTATGTAGTCATTTTCAATATATTTTTGCTTGCACAAATCCGTTTACCAAATTTAGCTGTCACATCACAATTTTGAGAAAAATAGCGTTAATGAGGCTAAAAAATAATAATTAAAAATTTTTATAATGTTGGCAACAAATATTTTTGTTTTCAAAATATTGCAAAATGAAAATAACTTTTTTTCCATGTAATAAGCATATAGAAAAAACATTTTATTTCTGTGTTATTAAAGTAAGTGATTATATATACATTACATAACATAATCAGATCATATTAAGCAAAAATGATAAAATATAATGACAGATAAATTATAATCTTCAATAATACAAGATTATAATTTTTCCATCATATCATATTTTGTCAATTTTATATTGCTTTTTGATTCAATAATGAAAATAAGTTGAGCATGTTATTAACTTATTTAAAAGTACTTAAAATTAAATCACTTTTCTAACAAGAACAATTATAAATTATGAGAAATAAAAAAATATTAATATTCTTGAGACTTAATATTCTTGTTTCCACGGGTGCTTTCTATATAAAGATTATACGTTTCTATATAAAGATCAAGCTACTCCTTGCCCTGATGAAATGGACTGCAAGATTCATGAAACATTAATATTTCAAGAATGGATCTGGACACGAAAGAAACCCGCGAAACGCATAAACTTTATTAAAAAATATTAAAATTTATATAAATCTTTTAAGATTTTTTAAGTATTGGAGAATACTATAGTTCGTAATTGCTAAACATTCTCTCTAAATCTCTCACTATACATGTGTATATACAGGGTTGGCCATATTCGACGGAAAGATGTTTTATCTTTATTAATTAATTTCTTATTAATAATTGTAAAAATTGCAAAACGAAAGAGAATTCTTATTTGTTTAACCTCAAACTTCTATTAAATAATTATTTTTAATTATTAATTGCTAAAAAGATTACAACAAGAAAGTAAAGAATTTTTTTATTCAATTTAATTAGATCGCTTCATCTGCCCACGAAAGGTGCTACAGTTATTATCAGATATTAGGGATGTTCCGATATAATCGATATTTTGAACTATCATATCATTACTCCTTTTGATATTTAATATTTGCATCGAAACTTTTAGTTTCCGCATAGCATATCGGATCTGGAACGTAGATATCAATTGAGTCGATAAAAAAGTTATATTTTCAAAATTTAACCGCATAAACGTAACAAGGATAGTCAATTCGGGAACAATTTACGACATTGCGATCAACATCATGATATAATAAAATTAAAAGAAATTTTACGTTTAACATTATCTTTATTAGTTGATAGACTTATACGTATTGTATAAAATGACAAATATATGTATTGTATAAAATATATAAATGCATAATTTTTTATTCTCATCAATTTGTTTCTCATTCCCATTTTATATATAAATTTACATTTTATATATAAATTTATAAAATATTTATAATTTTATTGATAAATAGTGATAAATTAGTATAGATAAATTAGTGAATTTACCTAGTAATTAAAAAAAAAGTTTTTTTAATCAAAGTTTGTGTTCTCCGCACGTCTCTATATAATAAAATATGCAAAAAAATAATAATATTTCCAAATATCGAATCATTTCCAATCAATATATTGCTGTATCGATATTGCATATTTCGATTCATATTAATAAGAAATATCGATAATCTATACTTCTCCGCACATCCCTATTAGATATTATGATTATTATTAGGCGGTGTGTCGAAAAGCTTGGAACATTTTATGTATTAAATAACCATAAAAAAGAGTTATATTGAAAGAAGTCTAATCATATACATGTAAACCGCTTTAATTTCTTTATCACAAAGATATACAGGGTGCGTCTATTCTCGGTCTGAAGCGTTCGCACGCACGCTATAATGTAGCGCTGTTCATACCGACGAATGCTGCCTCAATAGCGATCCTTAATAACGTTACATTGGGATGCCGAGACTTTTTTTGTGGCTCTTTCAACTACGTTTCATACGTAGTAGTCCAAGGGATTTAAATCTGGGCTGTTGAGAGGCCAGAATGGGAACCGAAGTGAGCAACTCGGCTTGTCTTGACAGTCTCACAGAGCATCTGTCGTATCTTTAATGTGTATGATTTGTATCGAAGGTCCTCCTCGGCAATTCGACGTATTGTTGACTCGCTTACATCAACAATCGATGCTAATTTTTATTGCAACAATTGCCTTGGATCATCAGTGCGTGAGCTCTTTCAACGATTGCGGGGGTCCTCGCGGTACTTTCGAATGACTCTTCCTCGCTGGCATACTGGAACCTTCGTTGGATTGTTCTAAAGTCGTTTATTTTGCCACAACATTATAAACGGTTGATTTCGGGTATTCAAAAAACCGAATTATTTTCGTTGCTGAGCGCCCAGCCTTCGATCATCACGGCTCTTCGATTATATTCCGCACTTGGTTTCAACATCGCGCCATTTTGAGAATATGTGTATATGACTGTTTACTAGAAGCATCAGACTTTCTCGGACGCCAACCTCTGGCGGAGGCACGATATAGCGGAAAATTTAAATTGAAATTTGTCCAGATTTTGGTGACGCACCCTGTATACAATAATTTGCAACAATTTTTCCAAAAATAACGCATTAATAAAAATTGCTCTCTAACATTTAAAAGAAAAATTACTTACCTGTGAAAAATTACTTACCCATCTTAAAAAATGTATAATGTAAGCTGGAAGAATATTTCTGTGTTATACTCTGTTAAATTTTTTGAAAAAATGTAATGTGTGTAGGAAGTATAATTTGTTTATAATGTTAAATGCATATAGAATTCAAAATTCATATATGACTGAAAGTGTAATGTAAATAGAGAAAAATAGTTGTTCGACATCTACGTAAAAATTTAAAAAAATTTAAAATTTTTAAATTGAGATGAATTAAATAGCATGTCATATTTGGTTTCTTTTTATTATAATACTTATATAGTTGTTCAAAAAATGTATTTATCCAGTAACGAAATTTATAAATAAAATTATATTAACCAATTTATAAATAAAATACAGAACTTATAAAGCTAAAATAAAATTAATTGCTTAAGTCAACAATTTTTAACGCATATATTATTTTATATTGTCCCATTTCATTATGAGTATATATTTAATGTGTAAACTATGGTTACACTTGATACAGAAAATATTAGGTATAGTAAAAAGAAATCCATTATTTTTCCAATAGATGGCTTTAGTAATCTGTATCACGCTTTAGTAATCTGTAGACGAGATACAGATTACTAAAGCCATCGATTGGAAAAATAATGGATTTCTTTTTACTACACCTATTATATACGGAGAGATACAAAAAATAAATGATAAATGATTACTTTTAGTGCAGTAAAATGAGAATAGGTAGAAATTTGCGTCTGACTTTCAATAAATATCTTGTATTACAAAAACATTAAAATGTTTTTAAATTATTAAAAAATTACTTTTACATTACAAAAACCATTAATGACACATGCGAGTTAATGATGTTTGAACATTGCCACTGAGATATAAAGTATGGACAACAAAGTATAATTATTTATAAATTAATTGGTTGTATCGATCTAAATATTCTGAAATACTCTAAACAATCAATAACGACTGGCACTCCCTAGCTCAAGATACCACAATTTTATTTCTAATACGAAAATGACAATAATTTCGCAGTCTAAGACTGAAAGAAAAAATACGCGCGCGTGCATGTAATTATATTTTTCCAATAACATAACTGTTTTATAAATATATTTTTATAAATATAGATTGTTTATCAAGTATTGAATGTATAAATTTTGGAATCTAAATAAATAAAATTACAATTAAAAATTTGAGAAGTGAATTTAAATTTAAAATTAAACTGAATAACATATACATACATTTGTAATCATACTGAATAATGCATTTGAAATCAAACCGAATAATGCATTCTTAATACATGAATAATTGGAGGAAATGATAAACAAAAATAATAAATAGTTTAACCCTTACTCAGCGAAAAATGACTCATCAAATTGATGTCAAATTGACATCGAGTCGAAATTCCATCGAAATATTGTTCGAAATTTGAAGCTCATTTCGATGTCTGTACTTCATAAAAATAATAAACATTCTTTAAAAAAAAAATGAATATATTCATCATCAGACTTTTAAACAAGCAAATGTGTAATATTTATTAGGACATCGATATTTTATCATTTTGATATCGATTCGAAGTTATTTCGATTTCCGAAAGCAAAATTTTTAAAAATAAAATTGTTATTATTGTATATTAATTATTATCTTTTATTATTAAGAGGAAGATTTTCTTTCATCTTAATAATAAAATATAACAGTTAATGTATAATAATAATAATAATTTTATTTTAAACA